TGGGGGGGTAGAACTTTATTGAAATGTCACAGCATGGTGGTGAACCAATCCCATATGTGACAAGGCAAATTGCCTTGTTTTGCATTGGGGCTGCGCTGAAAACAGTGACGTGCCGTGCCTTCTGTGCTGGGTGAGGCATTCCCCAGCCCGTTGAAGCACCGCCCCCATCTCACCGAAAGCTCCGCCCCAGCTCGGTAACCAAGCTGTGTGGGGAGGCGGAAGGGAGGAGACAGGGAGGAGCCTCCCTGTCCCTCACTTGCTCGTCACTGGTGAGGCATCGAGATCAATGTCCTCACTGGTTTTCTTTTTTTTAATGGACAGCTTGGACCAATGGCGCTTTGCCATTGGTCCAAGCCATCCACAGAGCTCATGCCTCTAACACACACAGTAGAGGCTGTGACAGCTCTTGCCTCACCAAGTTAGGTTACACAAGCAGTGGGGAAGCCCGATGCTGTGTAACCTAACTACCTGTCAAAAGCCGGATGCAGCGCCGCCTGTAATTAACAGGCAGCGCTCCGTCCATGACAGGTTACACAACAGCGAGGCTTTCCCTGCTCTGTAACCTGTAACAAGCCGCTCTGAATGGAGAAAAAGCTGTCAGCTTCAGACTTGAAGCTGACACCTTTTTTCTTCATAATACTAGATGAGGCTCAGCCTCACCTGCCTGCCCTGACCGCACGTCCCTGGCTGGAAACAACGGCCAGCGCAGCCCCAAAGCATCTGGTGTAAATGGGCCCTAAGGGCTTGTTTTGGTCTCGGGAGGAAAATAACAAAGTGATACTCACCCGATCCTCTGAACTGGCAAGCTCTGATAGTGCTACCTCCAGCTTGTCTCTGCCACCGCTGTAGTGATATGTCCCTCGGCATCCTCACATCCTATACACCTGTATATAACGTGATGACTCACAGGACCTTAGACTGCTTCAGCGGAGGAGGAGAGAAGCTCCGGGGTCTGGTCTAAGAGCAAACAGGCTCGGAGGATCAAGGGAGCATAACTTTATTATTTTCTTCTCTAGACCAAAACAAACACTTAACTCTTGCAGTGCGGGGGTAGGTAGGTTAAAAAAATGATTCCCAGACTTCTTTTAAAAATACTTTTATGTTCAAATGTATCCTGTCTGTGCTGAGCAATTAACAGTGGAAAACGAGCCATTATAGTGCCTTTTAATATATCCGGGCTCCATAGAAGAAAGCAATAGGGGGACAGGAGAACTATTCTGACTCCTGTTGTTGTGATGGCAATCCCTTCCTGTGACCTCTATACCTGGCCTGTATGTAGCAGATACAATCACTGCAATCAAACTCAGCAAATACTTTGTATCTATGATGATGATCTTTATTGCATGCAGCAGAGTTCTGGCAAACACTATGATGTGGTAGATAGTTGTATTTGAAGGTCAAAATGAATATTTCTCTCCTCACCTCATGTATATGTCTGGCAGAAACTCACACTGAAGAAGGAGGAAACTACATCATCCAAAGGGGGAGGATACACAGAGAAAGAATTGTAACTAACACAATGACCACAAGGTGGCAGCATAACAGAATGATAACTATGGCAATACACAATGACAAATACCAATGCATCGGCAGCGCCCATACGACTGCTGGAGGCAGCACAAGAACTCAGCACTGCAAATAATTAATCATAATGGCTGCATCCACACTGAATCTAAAGTTCTGTGTGGATGCAGCAAAACGATGCAGCAAAAATATGTTAGTTTAATTAGAGGATCTCTGTCAGTTCAGTTTCTCATTCTTGGTGGCATATTGCCATTCATGTATGGTTAAAGTCAACCTTTAAGTAACCTTGTAAGTCATCTCAAATATAAACTCCATACCTATCACAAAAAATAACAACAATAATAAATACTTATTAAATAAATATATTTAAAAAAAGCTCCACCTTTTAATATTATTTAAGCACCCTTTATGCGTCAGTCAACAACCTAGCCTAGGCTGAGATGATATCATCAGTCTGCTGCAGGTAGGACAAAACATTTCTTCAATCTCCTCTCCCCCAGTGATCAGACTACAAAATTGTAACTTTGTAGCAAGCCACAATGTGAAAGGCTGCAGTAAGGTCTGATCTGTGTCAGACATTAGTGACTAAAGAAAAACTACACAAGAACCAGGTTTGTGTTACATCTAAGAAGACTTGCCAGTCCAGAAAGTAAATGGGGAGCTGAACAAAGATAGCACCGTTACACTTGCACATTACTGAGCATGCATACACCTAATATTAAATCCTGTATCAGATCACGTGTTTTACTCACTATAAGCTTATTCAACAGGGTTATTCACAAAAGGGTGAAGAGTTTGGAGAAGGCAGGAGAAGTAAACAATCTAGGACAACGTAGCTGATTTGGAAAAATTCTCCAATTCAGCTCACTGTCCAGTTCAGCTATGTTGTCCTAGATTGTTCACTTCTCCTGCCTTCTCCAAACCATTCACCCTTTTGTGAATAGCCCTGTAAGTTTATTGTGAGTGAAATGCGTCAGTTGGAGGGGTTCAGGTGGTCAGATCCATTAATAAAAGTAAATTGTGGCTTTTCACTCTGGAGTGCGGCTACTCAACTCCCGTGATGGACTGCAATCTCAATACAAATTTGTAAACTAAGAGTGTAATTGTAGTCCATCACAGGAGTGAGCTTGGAGAGTCGGATACTTTACAACACACACATGGGTACCATGGGGAACAAAAGTAGCCACCCTCCAGAAGAAAGGTCAGTGTCAGCACCAATTCAGAGATGATTTGAGGATCTGCAGCCGAGTGATACACAAATAAGATACATTTTTGTTTATAGTTAAGGTACTTGAATGCATTTTGAAGAGATAACTCCTGAGTTTAGTGTCACTTAAAGCTCTCAAATGTTTTCCATAATGAATCTGGATCAAATATACATCGCCCAGCAAAGTATTTCTTTACACTTTTATCCAAACAATTACAGTCATCATTTTACCAAACAGCTCCAACTTTCTCAGCTCTTCTTCCCTGAACATCCTGCCCAGTACAAGATCACATGGGAGAGCACAGTCGCCATCAGCCATCCATCTACTAGCTTAGAGTGGCGTTTGTCAACCTTCTTTTAGTCACGGCACCCTTTAAAAGTATGAAAATCTCCAGGCGCACCAGTCTAAAATGTCATGTATTTTAAGGGTGACCCAACACAAAAACACACAAAAAAGTGGGTTTCCCCCTTCACATCGAAGTGAAAATCAAGCCCCACCCCCACATCAGAGCCTTTGCATCAGTAGCCCCCTTCACATCAAGAGCTCCACTTTCATATCAGAGTCCCTCCTTGCACATCAGAGTTCCCCTTTTACATAAGGAGCCTCTTCACATCACAGTACCACTACAAAAAAATTTTTAGGCACCACTGAGGAGGAGGTCAGGACAGGAGGCCACGGCAATCTGGTTGAGAAAGGCTGGCTTACACAAGGGAGGAGCAGGATGCATGGAGGAGAAGACTGTCTTGCCTTGCTGTGTCTGTGTTTGTGGAAGCAGACAGATTACTAGCACACACAAGAGTGGCTCCATAGGACCCTGCAAGGGAAAAAAGACACCCTAAAACAGGTTATCAGTGCAAGTGCTCAGGGACCAGCTGATTCTACAGAAACCTAAAACTTTTAAACATGAAGGAGCAGCATCCATTGTAAGTGATTTCATCAGCATTTGATATAGCTTTAAAACTTGTTGACTTTAATATCACTATAACTCTTAGTTTACTAACTTAGATAATTTTTCTAACCATTAATAAAGTAGAACTGAAGCCAAAACAGTTTTTTAAATCATTTTGGATAGAGTGGGGAGGGATTAGAACATCTCTTAGGTTTATCTTGCTTTCTGTGTCCCCATAGAGATGTCACCAGGGCTGCTTACAGATGTCACCAGGGCTGCTTACAGATGTCACCAGGGCTGCTTACAGATGTCTCCAGGGCTGCGTACAGATGGCACCAGGGCAGCGTACAGATGTCACCGGGGCTGCGTACATATGTGACTAGGCCTGCATACGATCTCACCAGGGCTGCGCACAGGTCTTACCAGGGCTGTGTTTGTGTCTCTCCAGGGCTCTGAGGGAGGGTGCTAGGCCCTCCAGGTGGCTGCCGGGCTGAATGGTGAATGGGTGGGTGTCGGGCTCATGCCGCCTCCAGGACTGTACAAGCGGGTATGGGGCTATTCTTTGCTGTGCCAAAGCCGGGAAATAAGAGGAGGCAATGTACTGGACAGGCACTGTCAAAGACAGCTGCCTGAAGTCCCCAGCAAGCTGACATCAAGCATGGGACCTCCGGCAGCCAAAACTATTTAAATCAGCTTTATGTATCGGGGCATTTTCACGAGTAGAAGTATTCATGAAAATGCCCTGTATTGGCCCCGATACCGATACTAGTATCGGGACATCCCTAGTGCAAAATGTGAATAAAAGCCTTTATCTCCTCTGTAAATGGCATGGTAACTTTTATTGCCATTTTAAACAAGCCAAAATATAGAATACAATGGAAATGGTTTTGTACAGTAAATTGTTATGTTTTCTACAGTAACATAAATTTTTTGAAAACTAACATGTTTCGTTATGTTTTTCTACTTATGGATTCCATAAAAAAAAAATTGCAAGACAATATCACCGAAAACTAGCATTGTTTGTCCTGATTAGATTGTAAGCTCTCAAAGGGAAGGCCCTCCTTACCATCTTGACTTGTATTATAACTGCAATGTCTTCCTTATAGTGTGAAGCGCTGAGTAAACTGTTGGCGCTATATAAATCCTGTATATTATAATAAAAGAAAGGATAAACTTGTATGTAATACTTTATTATCTCAAGTAATCATAATATTTTTTTTACGTTTAGGGCTCAAATCTAAAAATCTCCCGGAAAGCACAGACAAGGGGACAGTTTTGCAGGCTGAAACTGGGACAGGAAGCGGCTGCTGTGCTCTGTTGTCAAGGCAACAGGAGAAGTGACAGCTCGTCCTGTTCGTGGAACTAGAGAATGTGTGCCGAGTTTCCGGGGGAAGGGAAAGGTAGTGCACCCATTGAGGATACCAGGAGACAGCGTGACTGGGAGGTCACAGGTGAGGAGAGAGTGCGAGGGATAGTTGAGTGACAGAGAGGACACACTGAGGAGAGACAGAATGTCTGCTGAGTGAAGGGGAGAGAATGCTGAGAGACATCAAGAGGCCTGTGTTAGGGACTGCTAAGAGATAGAGAGAGACACCAGAGAGTGCTACTAATAGAAGCTGCTAAATGTGAAATAGAGGGAACTCTGAAAGAGAGAGGGAGACACAGAGAAAGAGACTGCTACGTGACAGCTAAAGAGAAAGAAAGAGAGACTAGAGTGACAGCAACCTCTATCCCTTTAGGGCAGGGGTGGGCAACTCAGGCCATCCAGCTGTGCTTTAACTACAAATACCATCATGCTGCTGCCTCTGGAAGTCATGCCTGTGGCTGTCAGTCTTGCAATGGCTCATGGGACTTGTAGTTCCACCACAGCTGCAGAGCTGGAATCGCCCACCCCTGCTTTAGAGAAAGGGTCACATGTTATTAGGAGGTGTCTGATATTTTACATCCAGTGGGGGGGGGTGGGGAACAGCTAAATTTTTTGGGTCACCAGAGGACACAGTATATGTCCTCCTGTGACCCTGAAGAGAACTATGGGCAAAAAAGGTTGCCCCATAGGTCTGCTTTTAAAAATCATATTTATTATTATACTGACAGGCCAATAGAAATGTGGGAAGAAGGGACGGACTGGGGAAGCTCCAACACTACACTGAACTGTAGAAGCTTTGTCTGTCAGTCTGTCCATCATTCTGACCAAGCAAATAATTGTTTTTTAATATTTCACTGATGATATTTTTTCTATATTTTGTTATAAAATATGATATAGAGCAGCGGTCGCCAACCTTTCGGACCTCACGGACCACTAAATTTATAATTCTAAATCCCGAGGACCACTAATATGAATTTGTTTAAAATCTATATTCTAATATTTTTTGTTTCCTATTGATGGTGTTTCACCAGTCAGCATGACCGGACTATGGCCTTGCAATTTATGTAAAAATATTTTTGGGACAGATAGAGCTTTCTTTTGAAGGTATATAATCACCACTGAGGGGGGGGCTGTTATTTTTTTTACTATATAATGAAAAACGTACCATAAATGTAAAAAAAAACAACACAAAGTTTCCCTATGTTATGTTATAAAACATTTATTTTTACCCATATTTTGAGTCAAATATAAAAGACGGGGTCACGTCGGGTAAATAGACACCAAACATGTCAAGCCTTAAAATTGCGTGCGCCCGCAAAAAACGCCCATAGGCGACGATTAAAACGCTTTTATTGCTCATCAGTTTAGTGTTATCAGTGATTAATGGCTCTAAAATTATTGCTCTCACTCCGTTTGCGGCGATATGTAACATGTGCGGCACTTTATGGAGAAAACAGGGGTCTCCAAGACCCCTAATGTCACCTAGGGACCCCCAGAGAAGCTAATGAAGCAGAGATCTGCTTCATCAGCTTCTGTAGCTGGAGAGTGACACTGAATGCAGGAAGTGATTGCAGTCATTTTTTGAGCTGAAGGGACCTTACAAACCTTTTTTTTATGCAGATGTTCTAAGTCAGGACAGCATATTTAGTTTAGTTAACAAGCTTTATTAGCTATAATTTACATTTTGCTTAAAGCCAAGTTTAAAGAAGAACTCTGGGCAAAACTTTTATTAACCCTTACAGTGGACTACCCCCACATTGCAACGGTTAATGG